TATATATACGGGCCTGAGTATGAAAAATCGGGATTTAAAACCGGGATCTTCTACTCAATACAGATGCCAATTGGACCACTAGGGTTTTCATTGGAAGTTCCATCAGAGGTAATTAATTTCCATGGTAGCCCTTCAAGACTCGTAAATCCCCTTGAAAAGACGGAGTAGAATACACAAACTTTGTAATGATGTCCCACAAGAATTTGTTCTAGCACCGTCTCTTTAGATACATATATTTCTTGTAATGTCCCTGCACATTCTTGGATTTATTGAGTTAATACTCCATCAATTTAAAGTTTTGTAGCATCCCTGAAAAGCGGTCTCTTCTGTTTTTCATCTAGCAAATCGCTGGACCAACAGGAAACATTTTCCTGGATGACGTGAAACCATCGCACAACCCAACACTGAAACACTGAAGTACTCTGGCGTCAACTGAACCACAGTTGTTCACACTACATCAAGGCAGTAACTGCTAAAACCCACTTTCTCTTTGACTCATTTTTTCAATTTTTTTTTTATTTTCGTTTCCTTAAAGTTCTTATCTTTTCCTTTCCTTTACATTCCTATACATTTCTTTCTTTCCATTACATTTTCTTTTCTTACTCCTTTCTTTACCTTATTCTTTTTCTCTTTACATCAGTTCAATGCACTTTACATAATGATGATAAAATACAATATCAAAATATACAACATTATATAATGATATTACAAAAATATTATGTATTTATTTATTTCATTTCAACAGACCAACAGCAAATCATCGCCACTAACAGGCTGATAAAATATATAAAATTTAAATATATCAAATATACAGACGAGAGAGCACAAAAATCTCACCTATTAGATAGACTAAAAATATATACGGTACTTATTATTATTAATTGCATCTTTAAAATAATTAAATTTTGAAAATTCACTATCAACGAAATAAAAATACATAAAAAGCCCAGAAAACAAACCGTCTCTTGGCCAATGCTTTCCAAATGGTGACTGAGTTATAAAAAACAATTCAGGTGCGTTTTCATGAACCAATTGAAACCCACT